TTAAACCTACTTCCTGATGTGTAAATGTGAATGATGATCTCTCTCTCTCTTAAGAGTAGTGAGGCTTAAAAAATATTACATGTGAAAATACCTTGAAAACACAAGGAATGCTTTATTAGTTTTCGATAAATGAAGAGGGTTAATTTGGTATGTATCTGTGGCATGTATCTTAGTAGGCAGCCTCTAAGATGACTTCTGACTCATCTTTTGACACCCATGCCCTTATGTATTCCTCTTTCTTTGAATATGAGTTAGACCTGGGAATTTTCTTCTAACAAAGAGAATATGGCAAAAATACTAGGATGCCACTTCCAAGATAAGGTTACAAACACTGTGACTTCTATCTTGGGTGCCTTCTCTCATTCTTTCACTCACCTATTCTGAGGAAAATAGCTGTTCTGTGGTCAGCTTTCCCAGAGAGATGTTTAACTGTCAAGGAACTAATGTCTCTAGCCAAAAGCCCTATGAATGAGCTTGAAAGCAGAGTTTTGAATTGAATGCAGCTCTGGCTGATACCCTAATTGAAGCATCAAGAGAGATCTGAAGGCAAAATCATCTAATCAAATTATGCCCAGACTGTCAATCCACAGAAGTAATGATGTTTGTTCTGTTAAGCCTCAAAATGTTGGGGTGACTTGTTACACAGCAACAGATAATCCAATAGCATTTTCAATTTTCATGAAAATACTTCTAAATAGTTCTTACCATCTCCTTTGCCTATAGACTCATCAACTCCCTTGTTAACTTCACCATCTACAATAAAATTTAAAAAAATCAAATTTTAAAGTAGTGAAAAATAAGCCATAGCAACTTAAGACTTCCAAATCTTTCCCCAAGGAGTTCAGAGACTATCAATCTTAAGAAGAAGTGAATGAGGTTAAAGATTAAAGCTAGTACTTATTTAAACTTCCCTTTTCATTCTTCTAGCTTCTTGCATAGTACCAAATATGAAAATATAATTTTATGATATAAAATAATTTAATGAAACAGGAAAGAGCAGAATAAGCCCTGAAATTGGTTATAGATATCTATGATCCCATTTGCCTATTTCTTTCACAGCTTTGTCACTTTAGGCAAGCTTACAATGCAATTAAACTCCAGTTTCTGCATCTCTACAATGGGATAACGCCTTGATCATCTTGTTTGGGGGCTCAACTGAAATAACACAAATACTGTGCAAGTACTACAATGTTATAAAAAACACAAGGTTTTATTTTTATTTTAATGTAGAATGTGTAAGATTATTTCAATGCTATATTATTCATCGATTAAAAAAACACTCAATTTTAACAGATTAATAGAAAAATGGACAAGTCACTAAAAAATTCACCAGAAATTCAAATGACCAATGAACATGATTATTATATTAGTGTTTCAGACTCAGTAACTGTATA